CTCCTCAGAGCCAGATAAGTGGCCCCAGGCCTCAGTTCCCTGGGGGTCGTTCTGAGCCCTACCTGCAGAGAGTGCCTGCACCCTAGGCCTCCCTGGAGGATGCTCAGGATGTTACAGAGGAAATGGACATGTACATGTCTCTCTAGCATGACGAGGTTGATATCTTGGGGCTCGATGGACACATCTACAAGGGACGGATGGATACGAGGTTGCCAGGCATCCTAGGGAAAGATGGTGAGTGTCCAGACAGCACTGGGTTCCTTCGGGGGTTCTGGCTTGGGTTGCAGAGAACACTTGTCTGTCTCCTGGTCTGGGCTTGTCTTGGACCACTGGGCCTCAGGTACTTTCTCTCTCCTCCTGAAGCTGGGTGGCTGGGCTGTTTTCTGGCAGAGAGCAGCAGATGGGCCTGGGCCAATTGCCCAGGGGTGGCTCTGTCCTTTCTTGCTGGTGTTCATCCTTACAAATCCATAGCTGAGCATTCCTGCCTCCACCTCAGTGCGGTATAACAATGCAGCTGACTGGCTTTTCAAAACCCAGCAAAGGGCCGTTATCTGATTCCAACACCAAACAATCTCCCAGGCTCTTGAAGGCCCACTTCCAGGACATACAGGAAGTGGATGGCTCATCATTTTCCCATCATGCCTTGTGCCTTGTCTCCTAGCTGAACCACAAGCTGAGGCCAGAACTCACTCAGGCCCTACACAAGGCCGATATGTACAGGTCTTCAGAGAATGAGTGGATGGGTGGCTATGGGCAGACAGACTGATGGTAGTCCTGTAGATGGATGAAGTGTTTCTAAGGTGCACAGCCACAAAATCGGCCAGTAAAGGATCCCACCCCAGCTGGCTTCTCACCGCCATCTCTCCTTGGTGCTGACACTCGCTCCTTCTGCCCTTGTCAACCTCAGGAGTGCCAAAGCACAAAGCTAAAGCACTGCAGCAGCTCCAGCAGCTCCGGCAGCTCCAGCACACCCGGCTCCAGATGCACAGCCAGCCAGCCCCGGGCAACACCACTCAGCCTCAGAGCATGCACATGTTGGCTGACGGCGCTTCAGGTAGCTTCCTCCTGGGCAGCCTGCACACTGTCCCCAAGCCTTCCCTCCCTTCCTGGTGGCCCTTCCACTCTCCTCCACCTGAACACTATCCCCAAGCCTTCCCTCCCTTCCTGGTGGCCCTCCCACTTTTCTCCAGCCTGGGCTGGGGACAAGGGCCAGGGAGCTAAAGGATGGGATGGGAGGGAGATTCAAGAAAACCAAGTAGCTGGACACTTGGTACATGCCAAGGTGGGCCCGTGAGGTGAATACTGCTGCTTCCTACTCCATGTGAGAAGATACATGCTCCCAGCTCTCTGGGGCCAGGTCCACAGTCTTCCCTGCTCAAACACACAAATGCTCTAAAAAGAGCCAGGCTGTGGGCCCAGGGCATGATGACCTCACCACCACCACCACTCTGACCCTAGCTTTTAGGTGTCCCTCAGCCTCTAGGCCTAGAAAGCCCTTAAAGTTCCTGGTCTCCCCCTGGAGAGGCTAGATCAGAGGGAAGGCCAAGGGGCTAGGGGCCTCTAGGTTCTCCCACACCAGGCCTGTGGTCCTTGCTAGAAAGTGAGGCTGGCAGCCCCTTTCTAGAGCAATCTCTCCCTTCATCTGTCACGGATATGCATGTGTGCAGGATCGGTGCTCGCCACAGGCAGGGGTACCCAGCAGCAGCCCCGAACAGCCTCCTGCAAAGGCTTGCAGGAGGCTCAAGGATCCTGACATCCCTACACTAACCCTGCTCCCCAGCTAAGACCTCTGAGCTCTGTAATACCCTTCCATCCCAGCCCTGACTGGGAGAGCCTGAGGCAGAGATGTGGGGCAGAACACTGTACGGGCCTGGGGCCTGGTGGTGTACCACCACTAAGGGCTTCTTGCTGCCAGGCTGCTAGGTGGTTTTGTCTGTGAATCCGGTTTTAATTCGCACACCTACACTACCAGGCAGAGCCCAACAATAGCCCTAGGAACAACTAGAGAAACAGGGACACTGAGAGGTCGGACAGGAAGTAGCTGAGCTGGAATTCAAGGGCCAGCCAGGGTAATCAAGAAGAATGGGCTACGAGAGCATGTTTCTGGATTTCTGCTGGATACTTGGCTTCCTTATCTCAGGCATTCTCCTTATTACTCAGAAATACTTACCATATAAGAAGCTGGAGAGAGTGAAGTAGAAAAATCCTGGGCTTGTGTAAGTGTTGCCCAAACAGCCGCTAAAAGAACAGGAGGTGTCACCAAAGAGGCGGGTTCTTTCTGCAATCCCGCACAGGGCTGTTTTTACCAAATGCTCACACACAGGGATCACGGACCGGCTTTCAGCACTTGCTCAGGAATACCCATGGATGCCTGCACTGCGTGGCCCAGCCCAGCAGCTTGGCAATTGGGGTTTACAACTTGCTTGGGCCTTGGGCAAGCTAGAATGTCAGTATAGGGGACCAGACAGAGCAAGGTTTTGTCTTGAAGCTTCTACAGGGCAGAAGAAAGAGAGACCAGTCTCCTCTGAGAGCTATCATTCCCAGTCAAATGTGGGGGGCACCTCCTTCATCCCCACAGACATGCCACACCTGCCGGGCAACCCACCTCGGATCGATGTGACCATGGAGGAGCCTCTCAGGGAGGGGCTGGAAGAGCCCACCCGGGGACCGAGATCCCCCACTGCTCAATGAACGAGATATAAATAAATGTTTAAAAAAAAAATAAAAGGAGTTGGGTGCCAAGGGACTTCTCTGGTGCCCTCCCTGGAGGTGGAGTGAACCTCAAGAACAGTCAGTACCCGATATTGGCTGAGCAGCCCTGGGCTTTCAGGCCTCCCCCATGTCTGAAGGGCAGAAGCTCTCCTTGGGCAGCAGGTCTGGTTTATGGTTGGAGAGCAAGAAGTCAAGTACGACTGAGCTGTTCTGAGCGTGCAGGTGCTCAGGGAAGCCAGCTGGGACAAGACTCCAGATGTGGTTCTGGGAGCCAGGGGACAGACTGGGCCTGGTCACAGCAGTGTTTCTCTGACAGTACTGACTTCTAGTCCAAAGGTCTGGCCTGGGACACTCGGGAAGGTGGGATCCATGATGTCTGCACATCAGTTCTACCTGGAGGTGAGATCCTGCTGCCACCTGCTCCCCTCCCTCGGGCTCAGCACAGCTCCTGCTACCCATACAACTTCCACCCAAAAGCATGTGTACACACACACACACACACACACACACACACACACACACACACACAGAGTGCGCATGCGAGCGCTGCTGGGAGGATCTATCAGCCATGTCCTGCAGTCCCCTTGGATGGGCTGCTGTTGCTGACAGCTCAGAAGCCAGCCTGCTGGAGGGACTCCGTGCATGGCTGCCTTGGCCAAGATGGGGCGACTCGGAGCACGGGAGGAAGGGGCAGACCCCTCAGCCTGTGAGGCCGATCCCTCTTTCTGTCCTGATGGCCACTCAGCCCACTGTGCTCCCCCCCCAGCTCCATCCTGAGCTGGCGCCCCCACATCTTAGGGGGCCACAAGAGAGACTGACCCAACTTGGGGCCCGAGAAACCCTCAGTCATTGAAGCAGTTTTCTGGCTTCACACCTCAGTCCCGGCACTCTCGGAGACTCGAGGAGGATCCAATGCTCAAAGCCAGCCTGGGCCACACTGCAAAACCCTGTCTCATAGCAGCTTCTATTCCCATCTCAGACTGGGGTGTGCAGAGTGGGAGATGGGGCACCCCCACACCAGTTTCCATCACTCCCTCTCACACGGGAAAGCATCTGGGGCAAGATGTTCACACTGAGGTGTGAGAAGAGGCGGCGACAAAAATCACACAGGAAAGTGTGGCAGGAAACAGCCAAGAAATGGGTTTCTCACGGCAGGCGCTGATGGGCTTTGCAAGGGGTGCCATGTGGTAGAGGGCGCCCCTCTCCCGTCAGCAATGTGATCATGCTTGTCACTGGATGGCAGAGGCGTGGCCTGGCCAATGAGCACCCCCTGCCTGTGGGCACCCTGGGGCCAGCCCCACTCTCCTCAGCTTCTGTTTCTCTCACTCTGGTCCCTCCCAGGCAGTGAAATGTCAGAAGGCCGGCTCAGTCTCCCTGGTGTAGAAGCCAAATTCACAAACCTCACAGGCAGGCACGACCTCTCCTTACCCAGGCCTTGGCCCACAGATATAAAGGGGACAGGCTGCACATTCCCTAAGGTGACTGGCCCTCACCAGTCCATACCTGGGTACATCTGCATGGTCCCTGGCCCAGGTCCCAGCAGCCCCTGCATGGCCGCCCACAGGCCTGTCAGGGGTTTCCCCTTCCAGTCCGGGAAAGCACAGGTGGGCAGGGGTGAGTCTGGGAGGAGGCCCAGGGGGCTCCAACCAGGAAACAAAACTGAAAGGACAAACCCAGTTTCCAAGTCCAGCCATGTGTCACATGCACAGGAGGGGAGTTGGGCCATTGCTCTGCTCCACAAGGGTGGTTTCACTTCACTTTGGGCCCGTCCTCCCACTCAAGTTTTGCATCCTAGCTCTTGATCCCCCAGAGGGGCAGGAAGGGTTTACATCCACTGGAGCAGCATCAGGAACAACCCCTGCCCCACGCACGATGGTTACTCACTACAGCCAGGTGAGGTTCTGCTACCATCCCTACCCCCCCCAGGCCCCTTTGGGAATCCAGCCTTTTGTGACACCGGGACAGCTTTGGCTGACATCTGGGTCATGGCTGTATATTCAACAGGCCCCAAGAATCTACTCTGCAGGGCAATTAATAGTAGAGGTGGACCTGAAGGCAACAGATACTGGGAAACCACACAGCTTATGGTAGAGATGGGCTCCCAGGCTGCGACCATAAGGTACAGGAAGAACCAGGTCAGGACGTACCCTGCCTGAGCCCCCCAACACCCCAGGCCACGTAGCCTCATGAAGAAATACCATAGAAAATGACACTGCCTTGCCACCCATGCCAGGGCTCCCACTGGCCTTTCCCACCAAAGCAAACAAAAGCACAGCAAACCAGGGAAGTTAGAAAAAACTTTTTAAGTTTTTAAATTAAAATTGCACCCTGGTGACATGTGACTTTAATCTGGGAACTCAATCCAAAGGCAGGCTCTCCTGAGTTGTCCTTCTCTGACCCTGGACAGACACAAAGGTTGGGGACCTGTGGGACAGTCAAGAATCCACTCATCAGAGGCCAGCTAACTCTTTAGCTCTGCACACCTGGCTGGTGACAGGGTGACAGTTTCAGGGCCACTCTCCCCAAGAGGCCACCCCCAGCAGGGATGAAAACTGCCTACCAATGGATAGAAAAGTCCATGGTTTGACGGGCCCCTTCTGGGAGCACCTCTCTTGGTGGAGGAAGGAGGGCTCCTAACCGTTGGTGTGCCTTCTAATGGAGGCAGCACAGCCAGCAGGCGGCATGCACGCTCACTGTGCCTATGAGCACCCCTATTCCTCTCAATTGGGCAGACGAAGGGGTGCTGCCCAAGACCGTGAGCCTTCCCCTCTGACCCCAACATGCCGCATGTGCAGGCCCCACTCTCACATACATTAACTAAATTTATATTCATATATATTATAGTTATATATTAAAAAGAGGAAAAAAAAACCTTTCCCGAAGAGAAACTCCTGAAGAACCCAAGTGGCTCAGGACGTTTACTGTCCCCCCACCCACAAAAATTCTCTTATAAAATCTTCCAGTGCGATCTTCAAGAAATCCCCCCACCCTCTTGCATTTCCCCCCCTCCCCAGCCCTCCTCTGTGTCCCCACAACCCTGGACTGCCCCCTGCTCCAGCCCAGTGGCGTCCAGTCTCATCTCTGGCCATCCATTGCTGCCATGGCTTTCTGCTGGGTACCCCCTTGTGACGCTCCAGGGGGCCACGTGGGCTGTGGGCAGTGGAGGTGATGGAAGGAGTTAGGGGAAGAGGGTGGGATCCAGGGCGTCTGGTGGTTGGGTGGGGATGCGGCCCAGAAGGGGCTGAAGTTTGCAGGGGGGGAGCAGGCCACAGCTGACATGGGGCTGCTACTGCTCTGCAGGCCCTCAGAGGCTCGAAGCTTGGAGAACATGGCCAGCGCATCAGGGAAGTTGGGCGGCGTGGCAGGGGTGTTGCTGGGAGTACACATCTGTGGGAAGAAAGAAGAGGTGGGGTGAGGCCGCCTGCAGGGCATGGTCCTGGCACCTTCAAGCCACAGGCAACTTGTCATCTTCCCAGAGACAATAAAGGACAAGAAAGAGCTGCCTGGGGCATGAGATGTCAATGGTTAATTCCAAGCTAAGGTGTCAATGTGAAAGGACAAGGAGCAGCCCAGGACACTGCTGCCCAGGTCCAGTGCCTTTCCTGCTTTGAGGAGCCAGCTGGCTCTGTCCACAGGCCACCTCAGACATTCCCTGGGTGTTAGGCACCAGCCACAGAGAAGCTGCACTTTCTTGGAGTTTCCATACCTTCCATCTGTTCAGCCAACAGGTCTTGGACCCTGGGCCCCTCACTCATTATTTCCTACATGCAGACCTGGTTAGCTCAATTATTCTTTTGAATTACATAGGAAGAAACTGAGGCCCAAGGATCAAGTCACAGCTGAACATTCACTCAAAGCAGGTGCAAACTGTGCGGGTTAGAGCTTGCGGGATTCTAGGTGCACAGGTCCCTGTGCTGAGGCCTCTGCCCAGCCGCTCACACTCTGCACTCAGGGCTAACTGCCACTTGAGGTCTGGGCTGCTAGTACAGACATGCAGCCAGCCCTGCCGGCCCCAGATGCAGGCAGCACACTCCTAGGGAGCAGCAAGGGACACTGCCCAGCCCGTGGGCTGGAACAGGTGGGTCAGAGCCCAAGACCTACATGAGCTGGTTCTGACCTCAAAGTCTCTTCTCCCTCCCAGGAAGCCAGGGAGTCCCATCAGCTTCTCCTAATTTTAGCAGCACTGGCTCCTCCCCAAGGCACAGGGCATTGGGGGTGGGGAGACACACAACAGGATGCTGGAGCTTTATCACTCCAGTTAAAGGGAAGCCAGGAACTAGGGCAAAGACCCCGCCTCACCCTGTTCAAGGAGGCTGTGCTGTACTAGCTTCTAGGGGACTCTGACCACTCCAAGGCCCCAAGGGAAGGCCAAAGGCCTCAGCCAGGTCTGGCCCCACCCAGACACTTCCCTCTGCCCAGCAAGATTCCCTGCCCACCCCCATGACTTCTGGGCAGCAGGAAACAATGAATGGGGGGTTGTGGGTGGAGGGCAGTTGCATCACACCATCGTGACTGACTTCCCCCCGTCAACCGAGCCAGAGGCTAGGTCTCTTTTCCAGGGGACAGCCTGGATAGTTGGGGCCTGTGCCCTTCTGCTCTGGTGAGCTCAGGCAGGTCACCGGGCCTCTACTTCGGGGAAAGCAGGGCTTGAACTACATTTTCTAGAAGCCCTTCCTGTAACCTCAAGTAATTCTGCCTCCCTGTCATGATTAAGATCTTCCTGTTTCCCCTCTGTAAAGGCCTTTCTTGTCCCTCCCCCTCATACAACTGGGGACCCTCACCATTTATGTGGTATTCCTCCAACAGTGGCTGGCAAGCTCCAGGACAATCACTTACCAGTTATAGCCACTTTGTGGTGACCAGTATTCAAATAAAGAGCCTAGGCTGACCTGGAGTCACAGCAATCCTCCTGCCTCAACCTCCCAAGTGCTGGGTTCCAATGTTTTTATTTACATCTTTTAACTATTGTCGAAAAAAACAGCACCGACTCCAGCACAGGGCTGCTGTCCCCGACAGTGCTGGAGGAGCACTCGGCACATGGCCCTGATTACAATGTCTGCCTTACAAAGCCAGCTGTCTCCCCAAGGGAAGCTTCCAAAGGGGAACACACACAGACAGACAGACAGACACACACTCAGATTTGCAAAGGTGGGGGAGGGGAAAGGAACCAAACAGGACTGCAGTTCAAGCTGGGGCCTGCAGGCTTCCTTGTTCCAGGCCCTTCAGCATGGCCGTGCGTTTCTTAGTGGTCTTGTGGGGAGGAAGAAGTTTTGAGTAGGGATGGAAGCAGAGCCCTGGGTGGCTGGATGCAAGGAAGGGGTCTCAGAAATGACGAAGCCCTCCTCATTCTCCTAAAAGCTTGGCTGCAGTGGCCAGGACCCAGAGCCAGCACCATTCATTTTCCCATCTTACTCCAAATGCTAAAAGCTGGTTTACGTCAAGGCAGACTTCTCTCCCTTTCCTCCCTCATTGGTTGGAAGAAAACAGTGCCAAAAACAAGACACAGTGGAGGAGCTGTGTGTAGTCTGTCCCCTGGGGAGAGACTGGGACAAGGACACCCAAGTAAAAAATGCCAAAAATGTCCAACAACAGATCTTCCAAGGAATAATGTTTTACCACCCTTCCACTGGGCTCAGGCCCTCCTACGAGGTCGGAGCTAATAGATAACTAGGGGCTGGAGGGGAGAAGGGATGTCCCGGGCCTCAAGAAGGCCTCAAGAAGACTGGCCAGGAGGGCAAAGGCTCCAGCTAGGAGCCAAGTTGGAAGGAGAAGACAAATCCAGGCTTCAGGAACTTGTTTCCTGGACTGTTTTTGTTTCTTAACATACTGAGATTAAAAGAAAATTTTTGCTTTTTTTATCTTGGGAGTGTAAGTCTGTCCGACCTGGCTTCGGTAGGGCCAGCCTACCTTTGTGGGTAGAACCGGGCTTCCGGGAGCCGAGGTGGATCTATCCCTTTCCCTGCTTCCTGCAGCACTGGGTGGGTGGCTTGTGTGTCCCTGCGCGCTGCATCAACACACAAATCCCCACCTCAGTCCCCCTCCGAGCTCTCCAGAGGCCTGGTTACCATCGAGCCCCCAACACCCGCTGCTACCAGACTTCTAGGGGCCTGCTGGTGCTGGGGGCCTCTCTCCTGCCCCCCCCCCCCCCCCCACGCCCAGGGCCGCGCGCGCGGCGCAAGGCCTCAGGCCGGCATCCAGGAGCCCGGAGGCGGGCCCCGAAGTTGGGCGAGCCCGCGCCGGCCCGGGAGCTCTTTCCTGGAAGACATTTTGGCTCTTTGTTTACATTCGCGGCGCGCCGCTCCCCGGCAACATGGCTGTCACCCGCCGCCTGTCAGCGACCCCGCCGCCCCGGGCGCCCGTCCCGGCACCGGGAGCCACTTACCATCTGCGGGTGGTGGTGGCTGTTGGGAATGTTGCTCTCCTGGAAGAACGCGCTTAGGGCGGTCTGCGGACAAACACGGGAGGCGGCGGCGGCGTGAGCGGGGCCCGGCCGCCCCGGCCTCCCCGCCGCGGCC